TAAGGAGTATGGTATTGTGCACTTTTTCCCAATTTTGCAGTGAATATTTGTCATGATTAAGCAGTTTTGTTAGATAAAATTTCTAGCATAAGTGTAATTCGGCTAGTAGATTGTTGGAAGAAGTGTTCAGTGGATAAAAAGAAAAGAAACATGTCTTTACTTCGTGAAGACAAAATGGCGGCGTGAAAAAAAAAATAGAGGGTTGCTGTAGGAGAGTTGGTCGCCAAATTTTCGCCAAGTTACCATAATGTAAAGATCAACACTTTTTTTATCTCAATTACGAACTTTGTCACGTTAGGTTAGAAAAGATATGCCTTTTTCGTACGAGTTCTACACAGGATGCGGTTTTATAACCCGGGTGCCTGCTGACAGGTGTTTCTAACACCTGAGTCTTCGGTTTTCTTGAATTGCTGCTCTTCAAGTTTTCATTTTTTTTCTCGTGGAATCTTGCGATAAGCGAACTATTTTTTCTGCTTCTAGCTGCTTTTGATGACTTAATCTAATTATCCTCACGAATCACTTTTTTGGCCCATCTAATAACTTATACTGCAGTTGCTCTCCTTCTGTAACAAGACTGGATTTGCTTAGTCGTGTGTTTGCACCATCTCCAGTCGTTTCTTTCCATGATGGAACTGTGCTGCCGATTAAGCATCTTCTAATGATTTGGGTCTGAGCTTAGAATTCCTAGTAATTTTTCAAATGCAGGCTCATTAAAGGGAATTCAGATGCATTCAGTTTTAGTGAAGCAACTCAAGCATGTTTACGTAATTAAGTTTCATCTAACTGAGCATCGAATTCGAGGTTTTCGTACTTCAACAGGTATGCTATATTTTCCTGTTTTTTTCTTGGGCGGCCTTTTTATTACGACGCTTTGTGACGGTGAAATCATCATTCAGTTTGGTTTCATTTTTTTCGAGGAAATTCATCAAATCAAGCTTTAACGAATGAGAATAAAAAAATTCAGATGCATCTAAGCTAATGTGCCAGGGTTAAGGAAAACTCATGGTAACAGTTAGTAGTACAAACTCAAAACCTCATCTAACACCATCAGCTATCTGATAATGATTTTGTCGAGCGGTTCTCAACCGGTGGTAGGTAAGAGAAAAATGGGTGAAATGCAAAGTATTTTTAACTATTAAATTCAAAAATCTCGTAAAGAAAAAGAACAAATGACAAAAATTTCCTGTGATCAAACTCTAACTAAAGATTTCAAAAATAACAGACTTATTAACTTTTGGCTGAATCGAGGGGGGGGGGGACAATGAAAAGGCATTTCAAATAAAGCTATTAAAATTTTAGTGTTTTTTTGCAAAACCTATTTATGTGAAAAAAGATTTTCTTCCATGTTATATTTCAAAAACAAATACATAACAAAATTAAAAGTGGATCTAATTTACGGTTAAAACTAAGTGAAATAAGACCACACATAAAGAAATTGAGCTGTCTTAAACAGACCCAAATTTCGCATTAAATTTTAGAATTAAAGTATTGTAACTTAAATTTTGATAATTAAAATGGTAACCGGTTTTTAATCGATTTTTTATGTGTGCATATTTAATACAAATAGCCAACAGGCTGTACAAATGGCAAAATATATTTTCTTTACTATTTGAGAAATTGAAAAATAATCATTGTAAAATATAACAGTGATACTAAAGTTTTTAAATTTTTGTTCAGATGGTACACGTTAGTCAAAAGATTAAGAAGCACTGATTTTGTCTATATGCTGTAACTGTTAAAATTTAATGTAAACTTGAGCAAATGCAAAATTATATACGGTCGACGATTTTGTTCATTCAATTGTACATTTACTGCATGCACACCTTCCTTGATTGGCTATGGCTTGAATCCTCTTTCACAAGTTTGAAAGAAACTAATAGCATTTATTCTCATGACAGTGACAGTTACACCGCCATATAAATGTTCCTTCATGGGTAAAGATCTCAGTGAATAATAGATGGGCTTGGTGAATGCATAGTTACTGTTGATAGGTGATTCTAAATGACTGATGTAAAGATATAAGAAAATTCCAAACAATACAAAAATTGACACAAAAATGAAAAAGACTCCTTTCAAAGGTAAAGCTCCCATTTACATTAGATATTCCATCCAATCACACAGTTTGCTACTCAAAATTGAGCCTGTGATGAACCAATTTAAGCCTTATTGCAAAAATTTGCAATAATCTAGCCCACTGCCACAGAAAAACACAACGAACATTTATCACTCATGGGAGAAAATGAGGCAGAACAGTTAAAAGCAGCTTTGCATAAAACATGCAACTCGTATGTTTCAACTTTACACTGGTACGAAAATCATTTACTGATAATAAGTGCAGTTTAAGAATTGATGTTAAGGCATAAAACTACCAAATCAAAATCTGAAAATAAAATATTCCATCATTGGCTCTCATTTCTTCTGAAATAAGTCATTAATTTTAGCTCTACAAATTTTTAATTAAAATAAAATTAGCATAATAAAAATGTAAAATCTGAATGATTTCAGTAGCTGTATGTATCATTAATAAATTACTTTTTCACTGAATAAGTATTCTGTATGAACATTAATTAAAAACTGAAAATTACAATGTAAATATGAAAAAGAAATGCATGCTCACATGCAATGTATAATCTCACATAAAAGAAACTATTGCTTATTAAATAAGCCATGTTCAAGAAACAATATATGAAAGCAAATGTGTTTTTCGAAAACTGGTATGCAATGAAAAAAACAGATCGGTAGCCGATTCATCTTTATAACCTAAAGGGAAAAAAATTGCGTTCAGTACTTGCTTCTTTGGTTAGGGTCACGGTATTATTCAGTTAATATCCTTTATGAGACAGAACAACTTAAGTCTGCAGTAACAGGGAAAACTTTAGTTTATGAACCAATGCCACAAGGTTTCATAGCTTAGAAAAACTTTATTCCTCAAGCATTCAGACTCTCCCACATGGTACAAAATGTATTCTGCAGTTATCAGTACACTTGGAAAACTGCAACATCGAAGAAATGTTGTAGTCTTAAAGCAAACTTCTGAGATCAGTATTACTCATTGTAACTGTCTTAAGAAAAAGCTTATAACTCTAACGAATTTCAGAAAACAGCAAAAAAAATTCAATGTATTTATGTAGAGTTCAATGTTATTACTACAAAAAATAAGGTAATGATGTCCTAATCTCTGAATTAAACGTCAATATTAAACTAAATGATCTAAATGGCTTTATAATTAAAAATAATTTACACCACTCTAACAAAATTTTTTGCCTTATTTTATTTGTTATTCATGATACACATTAATATTAGAAAATTGCATTTAATTTACTTCAGTTCCAAATGTAATTTATATCACTCACTCTATAAAAACATGCATTCAAAATTTTAAAAACACATGCATTTTTACAGTACAAAGTCCAAAATCCAGACTTGTTGGGACTTCAGAGCGATTCTGGATTTAGGATTTTTCCAGATTTTAGATCAGTTTAAATCTAGCAAGATGGCATGTAAAAATTAAAAATATGAAAGTGATTTATGAAATAACAAAGCATTTATGATCTAAAGGGTCTCAAAATTTACAAAAAAAAAAAAAAAAAAAAAAAAAAAAAAAAAAAAAAAAAAGAGGCTTAATATTTGTTTACTTCATTAAACATTTCCTTCAATACAAGTTAAGTTGCTTCTCTTGTGCCAATACTTTCTCTTTAATTCTATAGACGGACATAATTTCTTGTTTAGTTACAAAGTTCCATTTTGTTCAAGTCCTGTAATTGCTATGTCGAGAATACGACTAACTTGTCAATTAAAATTTTTTCGTTTTCAGTAACCACTCTGTCACTTTCTTCACCATCGGTAGCGGCATTTTCTGGATCTGGAACCATACTACAGATTTTGCCATCCATCGATTGACGATTGGAACATTGTCATCACCATGAAAAAAAAAATATATCACCTTCATTCATTAACACTTCTCCACATTTCTTTACAAAATTGGTAAATTTCACGTTTGATTTGCGATATTCGAAAACCTTCAAATTCGCGGCTATCATCTTCATCATCCTCACCATGAAATATGGTAGCTAGCCATAAATTATGCCAAGCATTTTTTAAAGTATCTGGAGACGATCTGCTGTGTGGAGCATCTTGCAATGCTCCACACATGCACAGATTTTATGCTAAAATATTTCAAAAATTTTTAAGTCTTGCCATTACGCATGAAATTTAACATGGATTTTAAAAATGCTACTTTATATTTGCATTTCAGCACATACACTATTACATCCATAGGCTGAATGATGGATTCTGCTGCCTGGTTCATCCATATGAGCTTTGATGCCAGTTCCGAGTTTATGTGAATAATAAACTAGTTATTCTTAATTTAAGTAACCTTTTGATCTATGAGTATCATTAACAAAATCTGTTTTTAGCATATGGAAAGAAATTTTTGTTAGATTTTTCAACATTTCTAGCACATTTAACTCACTTTATCTGTAATCCAATGTTGCTTTATGTTGCCAAGTGTAATGTCAACATAAAAGGTTACCAAACTTTTTGCTATTCAGTTACTAATATGAAAAATTATTTAGGCATCACTGCATTACTCAAGTTCTGTGTTGATAAACATGCAGTGACGAAAGCAAAATATAATTATTCCCCAGGTTGGCTTCAGGGATATAAAATATTAATAGTATAAAATCAATGTTTCTGTTTGAGATGCATGTCAAGCAGATACACAGCTACGGAGCAAATTACTGAGCACGCAAATTTATTCTAAAATGATGGTTTCTTGAATAATGAGGTATTTTATTTAGTGTCGAAGTGAAATTAAGAATCGAAACTCTCCATGTTTTATTATGGGAAAAAAATGTGTGTGCATAAAGCATACAAAGCAAATCTTAAGAAAAAGTTGGTGGCTATGAGGTCCGGATTTTGGATCATTCCGGATCTCTGACTTTGTACTGTATATACCTGCTAAGAACTTCAGAAAACCATGTTCAAAAAAGCCTTTGTTGTAAGCATTAAAAACTTGAAAATTTAATATGTAATCAAATTCTGCAAAACAGAAGTAATTGCTTTGAATATTGGATTATAAACAAAATTCTTCTACACACAAATTATGTTTTTAAAGATATTTGAATAAGGTATGCAGATTTAATTAATGGGTTACAGGGCTGTAATTTAGGCATAAAAGAAATTTAATACATTTAGAACAGTACTCCATTTTAATTTAAAAAAAACTTAATTCAATGAAATAAATGGTTTACACATTGAATATTTCAAATGTTGTATATAGAATGAGTAATAACTAGAAAGAGACATATTAGTTCAATACTGAAATATTACCATAGGCAACAAGATACTTTTTATTCAAGCTCTTAAAATGTATCTGCCATCTACAACATTAAAAACAATACAGAAAAGTATGTTATCAATATCTCCAAACAGATCAGTAACAACTACTGCAGTTCATATAGTAAACAGCTTTCACAGAATGTTCTTAATATTGGACACATTTCACACATTCAGATTAATGTAAAATACATGTAAGGATTACAAAGAAATCTTTACACAACAGTAAATATGACTTAGAAATCATTTACAAAAAGAAAATCACTTCCAGAACTTATGATTTCTTTTAATACTTGGCACAGAAGTGTGATGAAGTACAACGATGCCTTTAAACTCAATGTAATTACATGTATGCTCTTGTGTTTATAAAAATAAAATAAATTTCATCTCAGCTACTTAATTACATGCTCAAATATTGGATAAATTAAAAAAAAAAAAAAAAAAAAAAAAAACATTAAGATAGGCACTTCAGTGTAGATTCCTACATTGAAATGATTCAGAAGTTAACACAAGTCACAGCTACACTAGTAAAAACGAAAAATAAGAAAGATCTAAAATCCAGAATGATTATTTTAATTAAACAAAAACCCACAAGTTTCAGGTCAGAGGTTTTAAATGAAAATAAAACTATATTTTAAGAGCTAACTTTCATAATGGCAAATTAAATTATTTTAGGAAGATTCTGTGCTTTGCATTAAAGATTTCACTAATCAATATATACTTTAGGTTTTAGAAATGAAATGTGACCTCTAAATAAAAGCAAATAAAAACATTATACAATATGCATGTAACTTACAATTGTTGAGTGATCCATCACTTCAAAATAATGACTTAAACACCATTTTATTCAGACTACCAAGTCAAAAGCATCAGAAAGCAACTTCCATTGCAACAAAATCTTAGAAGATGTTTAATACATAATGACAAAATTAGCAAATGCCAATATTTGATCAAAATATACCACTTATCAGTCTTAAAAATTCATTTTTAAAGTACAAGATTTTACTAACATGGCAAGCACCATAAAAGGAAGAAGCATGAAAAATATGACATTTCCTTCAATAAAAACTGAACGAATTCATAAGTGCACATTCTACTTTTCTTACAATATTTAACATCTTACAGATTATTGAAACATATCTACGTTCCATGATTTTCAGATGCAATGCCTGTCACATAAATATATCATTAACTAGCTAAGTAATTACGAACAGAGATGCCAACGATCTGATGCAGATACATCTCTTTAAATAGCCGCAAGACAAATACCATAAATTCCTTTTCACATCAAGTTAAAGATGAAATTAGCTTGCTAAAAAAAACAATTTACTGCATGAAATAATGAACACTTCTAGAACAACACAGATCATATTCAGGTACAAACATAACAAAGAACATCTTCCAATCAATATAGATACAACTACAAATGTATATCAAATATCTAAAAATAAATATTTTAATTTTTACAATAGCTTTCTTTATAAGTTATTTTACATGTACAAGGAATTCATCTGAATACCTATATATCCAAAATAATGTAATAAACATATGAGAAATAACTATAACAAAAAATTTTTTTTTTTAAATTTCACTTATTCATAATCATAATTAACAAGTTAACCTATGGTAATCATTCAGTGCTTGGAATGTCTCAGTTAAATATGAATATTTTAAAAATTAAACTGAATACTGCGAATTCATATAAATATATATATATTTACTGACGTACACAGGAGTTAAAACCAACAAAGGGATTGGAACTTACAATAAATGGAAGGAGACATAACTATCCATTAAATGTCTAAATTAACAAAAATTTGGAATGATCATTCTGGACAAAGTTTCCCCCCTTACATATCCTAAAACTATAATTCAAAAATAAGTCCTTCCATAACTATTTTCAGGGCTTGGCATCTCTGTCAATGAATAGCACTCTTCAGTTTTCTTCCCAATGAAAGGTGACCTTTAGCCCCTACACAAAATTTACACCACAGTTCAGGAACAAAATACTGTATATTCAAAACTTGAGCATAAACACTCAAATTTGAGTAATTATGCCACTATGTTCGATATACAACTGAGGGACTTATTTTCAACCCATGAAGCACACGAGATAAATAGACAAGAGTGCAACAATCCTTTATGCCATTTTTCCAGTACACACATTGCTGAAAAGAATTCAAGAAAAACTACCAACAGAGGTCAAAATTGATCTTGCAACAGTTCACAGAGTTCTTTGGAAACAGAATCTTTGCTGGTCCGAACAGTTAAACGGTACATCTGAAAAATGTAACAGAACTGGTTAAGTGTCAGTTTTAAACCCAGAAGAAATCTACATGCACTGAAATTCTTCTCATTAATATAAATGCAATAATATAGTAAAACATATATAAGCTAAAACAAAATTGAGGTTTCAACACATTTATATAACAAAGTATAAGACCTTGCATAATTAGGTATCACAGAATGTCCACAGAAATTAATATCTAAGTGAAACATATCTGAAGAAAAGGCTATATTATAACACATAGGATCTTATTTCTATAAACAAAACATGGAAATAAGCTTTTACATAAGTTTAAAATTGCTCAGAGTTAGTAGTACATTCAATTTTAAAATGCAAACTCATACTTTTACCACAACAAAATGTTAAAATCGGACTTAGTTTTAAACTCTGCTTAACTCGCATGATGCAGCTTTACATGATCCCATACTTACGATAAAAAATATAAATGACCAGATTCAAAACCACAGTACTGGGTTTTTGAAATCTTAAAATAGGAAATTGGCAAGACAACAAAAAGGATGCTAAGTATACTTGACAGGTAACAAATAATGGAGGGGTTAATTTAGAACATGAAACCAGGTTGCAAATTTAAAATGTTAATTCCAGAGTAAAGATTTACAAAGTTCTGAATTTCCATGGCTCAAATTAGACATCTTGTAAAGAAAATACAATCACAAGCATGCATGCGTTCCAGGAATCTGAACCTAAATCCAATGAAATAATCAGCCTCCATTAAACCACTAGACTGTTAAAAATGGTAGCTTTTAATACGAACCCACACTTTTTCAGATATTCACAGGAAAAACAAATACCAAAATCGCAAAGCCTACTATAATAGTAATGCACACTATTTACAATGAGAAATTACTGCAAAAAGTAAGTTTCTAATTAACACAGAAATGGAGAAACCATTAGCTAGTTTAACAGTAGGCAGATGGAGCACATTTTTCATAAAGAGCTACACCAGCTGGCTAATCAAATACCTCCTGTATTAATCTCTTCATTCCCAGCATATAATATATGATATCCTTGTTTACCTCTGCGGTTCCACCATATATCTGATACACTGAAATGCAACATTTTTACTCGTAACTTTAAATGTGCACAAGTTATGTCAGAATGCTATGATACTTTATTGAATGTAATCGCTTGAATTACCTTTGTTGTTATGAATATTATTTACTATTTTATTCGACATATATGACACCTGCAGCGTGCATTCAGCATTTAGAACAATCCACACAATATGGCTTAAAATTTTATAAATATGGCAATAAGCTATAATAGGTTTGGTTTGGTTTATTAGATTACGGAAAAGCACTCGAGGGCTACCTGCCTTAAGGGAGGACTTTTTAAGGGGAACTGGCTCGTGTACACGTTACACATGGGGAAAACCACAAAAACACCCATGCAGCCAGCCCGTTCGCAGGATTCGAACCTCGGACCGAACTACCAGTGTTCAGTGACGTTACCGCTCGGCCCCTAGTGGGCCCTAAGCTATAATAGGTACTAATATTTTGAAATTTAAATTCTTACTTTAGTTCATTATTGTAAGAAAATACTTTTAATATGTAAATATTATAACAAATGCTGCACATTAAAATATTTACAATTTTTGTTTTAATTGTAAATATTAAGACTTTTGTCTATAGTATAAGAAATAAAATTTAAATAATGTAAGCAATAACCCAGATGTTTCAATACAAAACTGATTTTATGGGAACTGTTTTCGTATGTTAGGGTTAATTACAAAACACACTTGGGCACAGTTATGTTCAATGCTCCAAGATAATGGAAGAAATTCAATTTCTCAACTTCGGGAGTGAAGAGGTTAAGGACTATGACTGAAATAACCATGAGTAGTTATTTAGCAGAAGGCCTCACAATTAGCCATATAAGCCTGAACCTAAATCCAATGACATATAATCAGCCTCCATTAACCACTAGACTGTTAAAAGATCAGATTCATTAGTATTAAAAAAAAAAAAAAAAAAAAAAAAAAAAAACTAACAGTCACACAGCTATAACACCAGCAAGATAGTTCAGCAGTTTCATAGCTGCAGACAGTCAAGGATTCATGTGATCATATTTAAACACTGAAAATAATGCCTTATGGCTGAAGGAATACCTGCAATGAACTTTACACAGGTGAATGATTTATCTGAACAAATGAATCTAATTTCCTCTTAGACCAAAATGATGGCCGATTTCACACAGGCATAAACAGTGTGAAACCTCTTCAAGGCTGCACAATGGAGCTTAACCCCTTCGCGCTGACTGTCACGTATACGTGCCAGCAACGAACGCACTTACCTACTGGCCGACACGCAGGCATGCCAGAGGATTGTTCCATTCTCTACCGACTGTCACGTATTTGTGCCAGTACTTTGGAATGTTTATCAAACTATAATTTCTGCCACAAGATGGCACTGTATGTCCATATGGTTTCAGATACATGTAAATTAGACCTTCTACTCGAAATGAGAGAAGCATGACTCACATCACGTGTTTTGATATATAAACAAATGGGGAAATAAATGTTTCCGAATGGCGTGATTTATGACGTCTCTTTAAATCGCACTTTATTCGCACGTGGTAGTGTTTACTGTAAGTAGAGAAGTTTATTGCTCTAAAGCATTGGGTATTTCTGTTTGCAGTTCAGTTTTTTTTAAAAAATAATTAGATCTCTTAGATGTGAATTCTTTGTTTAACAGTCTAGTGGTTAAAAAAAGAATTCACATCTAAGAAGATCTAATTATTTTTTAAAATTATTTTTTAAAATTATTTTTTAAACATTTTTACCTTTGTTTTCATACCGACTTAATAGTCGCAGTACTACGTGTTCAGAAAGAGAAAAGTTAGATACACTTTGGTTATCATTTCCAAGATATGGGAATCCATTTATTAGATATTTTGAGTCAACATCTGCAGTTAACCAGAACTTGATTCCAAATTTGATAAAATTCCAGTTCAAGTCCTTTTGCACAATATATAAGACATGCGTATAAAATTGCTATGAAAACATCATTTCTTCTACTGCTATATTCTATTCATTTTCATGAATCTGTCAATAAGCTTCATCTTCAGTGCACTTCTTTATAGGTTTCAATATCCCTTCATCTATGAAAAGTCTCCAGGCACCTGACAGACTGTTGTCTATAATACTGCATTTACCATGTTGTGTTGGGTCCCGAACTTCCTTCAAAATATTTTACTTTTCTTCCTTTATCATTTGTTCCTAATTGTACGACATTCCAAACTGTCCCATCTTTGCCAACTTCATTATTTCCAACTTTGAATGTTACTGGCGATTTCTTTTCAGATTTTCTTGTGTGTATGCGTCTTTTCTTAGAATTTTTTCTTTTTTATCTGATAAATTATCATTATTGCGATGAGAAGGTCCAGCGATTATTAGGGCACTGCCAGAGTCATTATCACTTTCATTTTCTTCATCTGAATTCGAATTTTCTCCATTAACAGGCAAGTATTTATCCTCGCTACTCAAATCAAAACATTGTCATCATTATCATCAACTTCTGAATCACTTTCAGATAATTGTTGTAAATATTCCAAAGCTTCTTAAAAAGAGTGTTGAACAATTCTACGCGGCATCTTATCCATCCTTATACTAAATATAGAATAAAAGCAGCTTCAAGAAGTCTTTCGAAATATTTGTTGTAATTTTCCACTGCATTTAAACACAGTTCGTGTTACAAACCTTGACTGAAAACCACACTGGTGTTGTTGTATTGGGACTGCACCAGGAAACCAACCTTTCCTGGTGCAGTCCATTTTAGGAATTAGAGTCAGATATATTTTACATTTATTTCCGAGAAAATGCATCTGTTTTTCATTATTTAGACATAAACATTTCTTATGGGTCAAAGTGACCCACTTCACGGTTTTGGTATAAGTGTTAACAATCTGAAACTTATTTATGTTATGCTGTTTCAAATTCGGTAAGTTACTGTTTACCTTAAATTATTAAAAAGTCATGAAAGGAATTTGTTTTTCAATCAATACTTTATGCATGGTGACAAACATCTGTTTGGGTCAAATTGACCCGCTCCACAGTTCTGGTGTTAAAGGAAATCCAGTACCTGCCCACTGTGCATGCATCCCTCCCTCATGCATCCTGTTACAGATGGTTTGGCAGGAGATAGATGCCCCTATTGACAATGAAAGGTACATTTGAATATTATTTGCCATGGTGACCCCATGATACATTCGCCAAATTTGCCCATCAGTGCAATCTGCCGTGCACCTGGTGATCTCCTGCTCCTTTGTTGTGTATTCTCAGATGGTCCTGTGTCAATTGTGCCACACATCGCTGAATTGTATTTATGTCTCGTTCAACACAACTTGCAATTGCTCACATCAACAAACTGAGCTCATGCAGTTCTAGGACTCGTTCTCTTGCCTCACACAATAACTGCTGGTATTAAACTCTGATGTATTGAGACATTTTTTACCCTTGTTCAAAAGTTCCTTTACAGCAATCTGTCACTGACAGCATATACAGAGCAAGCCAACAAATGGCTTTTATAGCTAGTATATGTATCATGTGGCCAGATGCGCACACTAATTTAATCATTTGCATATATCTTAGACATCTACCAATCTTGTTATTTTCACATTGTTAGCATGCATTCTTTCATGGTGTTTTAGTTACACTTAGATGAGTGTAAACCAAACCAATCTCTAAACTAAAACCCAAATGAATACTTGAGTTATACTTGAAGTAAGAGGTGTTCCAATATGCACAAGATCAAATTAAATATAGATGCCACAAAAATTTGCTGAATTTTTCAAGGTGTTTGACTGCCCACACAAGTGAGCTATTGTGTTATCAGGTGTGCCTAATGCAGAACTAAATCAGTAAAGATTATATGATGCCGAGCCTCATACACAGCCCATTTAAGGATGATACTGTTATATGCTTTTTAGGTTATACACAAAGATTAATCTCTAAGGAATAAATTCAAGATTTTTGTTTTTGTGCTTGACACAGTGAATGTTCTAGCATTTAAATGACATCATACGAGGGCCTACGCATCATACTTTACCTATTCCCTTTATTTTTAATACCTTTCTTATTTTCAGTAAAGATGCTAGCTGTATTTTATTTCAGAATTATCATTTATTTCTGTAAATATGTATCTGGAAAATATTCCTGGACATAAACTGCATCGATAGCTATGAAAAACCTAAAACAGTTTTTTCACTATACACACTGTTTATCAAATTTCTTCACTGGAAAAAGAATCAACCAAAAAATCGAGAGGACAACAGCTATCAGATGTGTATAATAAAATGGTTCACGCATTAGATAACTCTGTCTCTCTTATATGAATCAATACAGACAGTTTATGAGGTCTTGGAAAACAGAGGATTCTAGAAATTTAGATATAAAGAAATTAAAAACAAAATTTTAACTTTTCAGAATTGCATGAAATATGGCAAATGCATCAAGATCTATTAAAATATTAATGAAACATAGCACACTGAATAAAGCTATTCTACTGGGCTAATGTCAATGAGCATAAGAATATTTTAAATGCTTACCTGAACAGAGCATGTGTAACAAAAATGCTTGTAATAAAAAAGTAGTATTCAGCTAATGTAACCAAATACAAGGAATAAAAATATGCACAGCAGAAAATTATGTGTATCCTAAGGTTACAGAAAACTCAAACTCAGAGCACAGGCATATAGTAGGAAATCCTGGCAATAAGTGGTTGGAGAGTATCGATATGTTTCACTATCTTTATACTTCGTATTTACTTCTAATCTTGCCTCTAACATTAACCTAGGTTATTGTTACTCTTAAAAGCCCTTATTTACAACATTAATTGCTCCAAATCTTATGAACAGTGACACTACAAGTGCTTGATAAGTACTAGAGTTCAGAATATAAATTTTTATTTTTACCATTCTTTGAAACATTACAAAAATTGCAGTTTGAATTTTTCATTTTTCATAGATTAAGTTAAAATATCACAGATTCTTAAAGTACACGTTAATTTTAAGGGACTGAACTCCAATACATTTTATATTACCTCATTTAGTAGCCCAACACATTATGCACATCTTACTTGCATAATTTATCAATTATCATAATTTTGTATGTAACAATGAATATTCAGCTTTACTCAAAAATCACCATTATCTACAGACTTTGGAATATACAGATGGCATCAGAAAAATGTATAGACACTTTAACACATGGTATCTGCATGCTGTTTTGAAGCTGAATTGAATTACCTTTATAACTAGTGTTTAACATACTTAGAACTCTGAAGTGACGTATGATACCACATCAAAATCGCCATGGGAGATCTTGGTGGATGTCATGAAGCACAGGACATCAGTTATTCTAGAGGTCTTTCCTCAAGAAATTACAATGGCATGTAAACCTCCACAGATATGCTGACCAACATTTTTAAGCTATTGCTCAACACTCTGCTGTGTATCTACCTGCTAATGGCTATGTATTTAGCTTTGAATACCCTAAACAATTGTACAGATACAGGTGCAAGAAGATTACACTAAACCTATGGTATGCATGATTAAATAAACCTATAATCAAGTTTGATATTTGCATATAAAGAATTTTTTCATTAAGGTATGTATATATTTTTCTGATGAATGCTGTACTAGCCATGAAAAGAGCAGTACCACAGAAATTCATTATTTTCATTTTGCATTAGTCTCATTTTGCAAACTGCCACTCCAGGAAACAAAAGTATTTAAAAATCTTTACATAACAAATAACTTTAAATTATTACCTGTGCCTGTCTATTTGGTTCTAATCTTAAAAGGCATCCAACTTGAATTTTACTAGTGTGAATAATTCCAGCACATACAAAGTTCTCCGGGTTTGGATCAATACCTTCCAGCAGCATAATACCAAAACCATTTAACTAAAAACATATCAAAAATTAGAACAAGCAGTATTTTCTGCATTACAGTTCTTACAGATAGGAAAAGTTAAAATTTTTTCAGACACTATTATAAATAAGCAAGGAAATACTTTGAGCTGAAAAATAATTCTGAACTAGCATAACATTATTCTGTGCATGACATAAAATTTGTTGCTTTGATATATTTAAAAAATTGTTGATTGAAACACAGCAAGTTCAATGTAAGAATCATTAGTACTAAAAATAGCTAATAAAAGTTCTGTTCACACTGGTTCTAAGAATCACACTGCAGCTTAGCCTGGGAAACTAGTTTTGGATAGAAACAAAACACATGACATGATAAAATATCATGAAGAATTTAAAAGAACCTGATAGAAGAACATTAACAAAAGAAAAATTTAAGAAATCATTTTTATAAAGAAAAATATCCATAATGTGGAGCTTGCATATTTTAAATGTGTACTATTTCAACATAAAAATATTACCTTTTAGGGTGTAATGTAAAAATATTGAAATATCATACCATAATGTAAAAGTTAATACCCAATTTTTTAAATACACTTAATAAGTGGACTACACTTTTTAAAAACTATACATCTTCATTCAAAAAGGGGTTTACAAAAAATGAAAAAGCATTCAAAATTTTATCTAATCAATACTTAAAAGTGAAAAAATTTGGGAAACACCCCTTCACCTAATCAAAAGGATCTAGACATCTCAAAAATGATATTTAAGTTATAATTTCCATTTTTAATTTTTTAAAAATGCCTTAACTTTTTTTAGCTCATGAAGTTAACATTTTACTAGTTTTGTTCATTTACTTGTCCATCAGCTTAGTTGCACATTTTCTGTCTAGAATAGCAGTTTAATACTAGCCAAGATGCTAATGAAATATTTATGAATTATACAGACAAGGGATTTAATCTACCTAATAATATTAACATCATAATTTTCTAATTGTGAAGGGTATGAATAGCTGTAGTCGCCTGGAAGAAAATATCAAACTACTTAGAGACCCAAAGAAATACTAAACGGAAATTTTTCAACTAAAAGAGCCACATTTTTTGCCTGTTCTTAAATTTTGTGTACAACAGCTACATGAATAATAAAGTAGGAATTGCATAACTAATGTTAAAATTAATCAGTGAGATAAGCAATTATTAGAGATCATTAATCAATGAAGATCATTAAAAAAGGAATGGCTATATTCAACATTACAATGGCAATTTCTTTCTCCAATATAAAAATAACGTAACTGCTTGAACTATCTGAATGCTCAGCCTCGAATAATAAAGTGATAAGATCATTAAATGTAAAGTGGATTATATATCGAGCACTAAAACTATACGCATATATTAAGCATAACTAGTTTACAAAATGTAGCCTTTGAATTTTCAGAAGATTCGATTAAACATTCAAAGTCTGAATTCCATACTCTCCAAATCAACATTAACACATACTCAGTTCTGTCAGACAGCCTATCTGTTTAATAAACTAGAATACAGAACATTCGGTTCTGTAAAAGATTTTGCAAATTGCTTATTTACATCACCAGAGGAAATTCAAATGTCAATACTTTAGTATTAGAATCACTTTCACAATTGAATAAACTGAAACAATGCTTTTTGTAACAGAAATGGCTTATTTCATTCTTTTTCCATACTTGCTAACCTATGACACTCAAAAATTGGGAGATTTTCTTAAGAAATCAGGAGATTTTTCACAAGGTTAAAAAGACTTTAAATGATGAAAATATAGTTTTTAATAATTAATTAACTATAAATAGTAACTAATTCTTAAATGCAAGCAATACAAAAATACCTTACACATAAAAAACACTTTTATTACTTGCATCATTTAAGGGAGGGAACACTTTAATCAGTTTTCGTACAACTGTTATAAACAGTGGCAGATTTTGCTTTCTTTAAGAAACTTCATAATTTTGTTCATAGCAGTTGCCACGTAGGCCTGCTTTTGCTAATAAATGTTTTTCTAATGTGTCATCACTAATATTAGATCTAAATTTAGTCCTCGTTTCCCCAACATTGAAAATCCTCTCACACTCTGCATTACTATGGTAAACTGTCAAGATGGACAACATAATTCTAGACAGTTCACTATATTTTAAAATTCCATCAGCATCTTTCAGTTTTCCAATTAAACTCCACTGGGTGTCAATCCTACCTGATTTTATAACTTCATCCAAGTTTTCTAACTGTAAACTGCTGTTATGCAACTGTTGGAACTGTTTCAATTTTTCCCTTCCTTTTAGAACTCCTTTCAAGATAATAATAAATATGAACAATGTGTTCATCCACATTTATTGGTAAAGAAGCTGCCCCCTTTACAGCTGCTAAATTTAAGAGGTGACAGGTGCACCTCATAATCTGCAAATCTGAATTTTCCTTTCTCAAAATGCCTTCAACACCAGTCTTCAAGCCTACCAATACTGGTGCATTATCGGTACCAAGGGCTAAGCAATTATCCAGAGAGACTGCATTTTCTTTTAAAGTTTTAATAATTAGCTGTGCTATATTAAAGCCTGTCAAATGTCCTTCTAAAGTGGGGACAGAAAGTAAACTGCACTCAATTTCTGAAGACTCTGGATTAAAAAAAGAAACAATTGGATACAGTTTTGAATCGGTATTATTGCTTCCATCCATAGAGAGGCAGAACGGAGCTGTTTTAATGCAATCAATAACTGAAGATTTATTTTTCAAATCGATTTCTTTAACAATTGCACCTGCTTTGGTTCTTGCACTTGAGTATTTCTTAGCGATTTCACTATTGGGAAACATTTTTCTAAATAAAGCTGCAGTGTGATCTGAAGCATTCAGTGGCAGGTTGTGCTCCAGTAAAAAGGCAGAGAACAGACATTCTGCATTAATAACTTCTTGGTCCTTTGTTTCCAAAGAAAAATTAAATTTTTCGTTTTTTCAAAATAACTCATGTTGTCCTTGTGTTTTTTGTGTACACACGTTTGAGAATATCCGCTCTTCCACCACGTGAAATCGAAAAATCGCAACGACAGGCGGTACGTATCGCAAATTTATTACATTTCCTTGAGGAAATAATGGAAGGAAAGTCAACTGTGTACGATTTTTGAAACTTAAACGAGTATTTCACCTTCCTCGTAGACATAATAAAAGATAATAATTTCTAAAACCTATTTCCTGAAGGCACGTGTACTTGCACAACTCAGGACAAAATGACTGAAATAACTAAAGAACATCCAAATAACAGCTTGCTTTGTCCTCATTGGCTAATATATGACAGATGACACGCAGTGGAGCACGATGCCTTTTGGAAAACTGGAGAACGACGTTTCTGGATACGTATATGCTCTCACTCACAAATCAGAAGTTATCTAATTCGCAAGGTTTCATTTTAGATATAATCTAGAGAAAATTCAATTGCTTTCAGACGTCCAAAATCACTTTTTTTTTGTTCATATAACAAAGTATTAAGCCAAGTTCCATAAAAATTGTGAGAAATTTTAAGAATAAAAAAAGTCGGGAGAAACATATTGTAAATCAGGTTGACGGGAGAGCGGTCGAAAATCGGGAGAGTTGGCAACTCTGTTTTTCATACTGAAAGTTTGAACAGATCAAGGAAATCATACTTGCTCTAAATGAGAGTTAACATTTAGAGATCAAAATACACTACCTCTCCTCATCTGATGAACCAAACCTATAACAGCACACACTTTCATTAACTGATTTTAGACCAAAAGCAACTGAATCTGTTCACATCCCTAAGCTGCCTTTTTTACTTGGCATACACATCTAACTGAAAAATTCTACATTAAAACAAACTGATTTTACACTTACTGAATAATATATCCTTGATGGCTACCTGGCAATTTTCTTTCATCACTGCATGACTATCAACAGCTTGAGAAATGACTCATGCAGAAATGTCTAAAACTTTAATATATTACGCTTGATTTTGATTACAGACTTCAGCTAACTGCACTGTGAAGTTCACTGAGCTGACAAGAAATTTAACATAAATTTCTTTCTATATACAAAAAATCAGATTTTGTAAATGACACTCGTAGGCAGTCTGATTTATGAATAGCTGATTTATTCTGCAGATAAGTGGTTTACCTAGGCTTACCATAAACTTAAAATGTAGGTGGGAATTTATTCAGGACTCAATAACTATCTATAAAATAAAAAAGTATAAGCATAAAAAGAAAAGCAACTGAAAACAACTAACATTCAAAGAAATATTTATTAAAGCAAACACAAATACTGAGCATTTTTAGGGGGGTAAACTTTGATTCCCTTAAAATCATAAATGCTTCATTATTTCATAAATAACAATCCCCTTTTTGGTGCCCCAATTGCAGTTTTTATGCTCATAATGCTCCATGATGACTTCGCTTTTAGATTCAAGAAAATGTTGAAAAATTCCTAATTCTTTTTTAAAAAGGGAAATGTTCAGTAGTGAGACGATGTGCTCTAATGTAAGAGGTAAGTGCATGTTACAAATTGTTGATCTTAATGCTGAGTCAATCCTGGTTCAGTGTTACTTTTTAATCCTAGCCACAGCCATTTTATTTTGCATTATAATTCATTTATGGTTTGGAGGGATCAATCTAAGAAATGGATGAAAAAAATAATTATATTCATGGTTATGAAAAAGTGATTCATTCTGGCTTTTATAAACTTAGATTAATATTTCTCAGCAATCTGTCAGCTTTTATTATTTGTTGGTTTTAAATATTTATGTTTAATTCACTGAATATATCTTTAATGTACGAGATATTTGTCGGCCTTGAAATACGAAAAACGAAGCTTCTCGTGCAAAAACTAGGAGATTATAGGAGGTGTTTGCTGTGCATGGCAAAACCATTTCACAAAAGAACTCAGTTCATTTTATAATGCATAATTCTGGTTACTCAACAATTTTTAATGATTATAATGCAAATATATTAATGCTTCATTTAGATATTATAATTTCATGAACCCCAACTGATTTTATTTTGTAATTTT